CATCATAGGAGCAGAGAGCCTCTCTGCTCCTATGATGCTGCTTGGCCTGCTGTGTTCATCCAGCCCTGCACCTTGTTGTCTCACAATTTGTATTCCCACTTATTTTTGTGTCGTCTACAAACTTGATGATTGTACCTCAAGAAATGCAACATAGACGTTAATGCTCTCACTCCAAAGAAACCAACTTTGAGGAAGCTCCTGTATGAAGGGACACAATTCTTGAGAACACCTGTTGCCAAGGGGAAGTTCAGAAAAGGATCTGGAGAAAGGAATGCCAGTGATTTCAAGGCCAAAGGCCAATTTCACCTCCTGGACACACCTGCCAGATATGTGATCAGAGATGCGGCTCTAGGATCAGGCTCATTAGCGACACAAGAACCCATTGAACTCATGACCAGTGACATGGAATTTTCTAGATTGACCATCATACTCGTTAGCAAGTTATTGCTAATGATGTCATTCTCTTCAGTCATCCAAGTCATTAACATATATTGTAAATAACTGTGGCATCAGCACTGATCCTGGTGAAGTCACCTTACAGCGCTACATGTGTGATAAATAATGAAAGAAGCATTCAGTTAGCAAGAGCTAAGTATATTCATAACCAACATATCAAGTCAGAGATCTATATTGCTATCATGTCTAGTTTTGATTTGTAGTGGACTATTAAGCAACTGACAGGAGCAGATTCTATCATCTTCAAAGGTAGCGAAGCCTTGGCAGATAATCCAAAGAGATTCTACAGGCACATTAGGAAGAAAAGAGCAACCAGGGACAGAATAGGGCCCCTTGAAGATCATCTAGGTGGGAACCACAGGAGATTGGAGAGATACTAAACGTCTATTTTGTGTCAGTATTTACTGTGGAGAAAGACATGAAGGCTCGGGAATTCAGGAAAATAAACATTGATGTCTTGAAACAAGTCCACGTTACAGAAGAAGAGGTGCTGGATGTCTTAAAAAACATAAAGGTGGATTAATCTCTGGGACCTGATCAAGCGTATTCCAGGACATTGTGGGAAGTTAGGTAAGAAATTGTGGGACCCTTAGCAGAGATATTTGTATCATCTATAGCCAAGCGTGCGGTGCCGGAGGACTGGAGGGTGGTTAATGTTGTGCCTTATTTATGAAAGGCTGTAAGGTGAAACCTGAGAATTATAGACCAGTGAGTCTAATATCAGTGGTAGGTAGGATATTGGAGGGGATTCTGAGAGACAGATTTACGTGCATTTGGAAAGGCAAGGGCTGATTAGGGATAGTCAGCATGGCTTTGTGCCTGGGAAATCATATCTCACTAACTTGAACGAGTTTTTTGAAGATGTAAGCAAAGGGCAGAGTGGTAGATGTTGTCTATGTGATCTTTAGTAAAGTATTTGACAAGGTTCAGCATAATAGACCAGTTAGCAAAGTGAATCAGGGACAGCTTGTCAGTTGGATACAAAATTGGCTTTGATGGCAGGAGACAGGGGGTGGTGGTGGAGGGTTGTTTTTTGGACTGGAGGCCTGTGACCAGCGGTGTTCCGCAACGATCGGTGCTGGGTCTACTGTTGTTTGTTATTTATATAAACAATTTTAATGAGAATTTAGGAAGCATGGTTAGTAGGTTTGTGGATGACACCAAAATTGGTGGTGCAGTGGACAGCGAAGAAGGTTATCTAAGATTACAAAGGGATCTTGATCAACTGGACCAATGGGCTGAGGAATAGTAGATGGAGTTAAATTTGGATAAATGTGAGGTATTGCATTTTGGTAAAACAAGCAAGGGCAGGAATTACAGAATTAATGGTAGAGCCTGGGGAGTGTTGTTGAACAGCGATACTTAGGGGGTCAGGCACATTATTTTTCGAAATTTGTGTCACAGGTAGACAGGGTGGTTAGGGAGATATTTAGCATGCTTGCCTTCATTGCTCAGATAATTGAGTGAAGGAGTTGGGACATCATGTTGAAGTTGTTGAGGCCATGTTTGGAGTACTGTGTACAGTTCTGGTTGTCCTGTCGTAGGAAGGATATTATTAAATTGGAGGTGATTCAGAAAAGATTTACCAGGATTTACTGAGACTGGAGGGTTTGAGCTATAGGAAGAAGGTGGATACAATGGGACTTTTTTCACTGGAGCTTCGGAGGTTGAGAGTGGCCTTATAGAGGTTTATAAAATCACAAGGGGCATAGATAAGGTGAAAAGCAAAGGTCTTATCCCTAGGGTAGGGGAGTTCAAAATTACAGGGCATATTTTTAAGGTGAGAGGAGAAAGATTTAAAAGGGATGTGAAGGGCAACCTTTTCACACAGGGTGGTTTGTATGCAAAATGAACTGCCAGAGGAAGAGATAAATCTAGGTCCAGTTACAACATTTAAAAGACATTTGGACAGGTACATGAATAGGAAGGATTTAGAGAGATATGGGCCAAATGCAGGCAAGTGGGACTAATTTAGTTAGGAAACCTGGTCGGCATGGATGAGTTGGGCCAAATGGTCTGTTTCAGTGCTGCATGACTCTATGACTGTAACCCAGAAAGTCATACAAAAGACAGATAACTTGCAGCCATCCTCAGAGGTTTCAAGTAAATATTCTTTCTTGGCCTATCCTGACATTTCTGCCATCATAGCTATTAGCTTCAGCCAATACTTCATTTGCACTGGATATTGGAAAAGGTACAGGCCCCACCAACGTCTTGGCTGAAGTGCTGAAGACCTCTGCTCCAGAACACCCTTCAAAATGGCTCTGTGTCTGTTTTGCCATGAGCACAGACAGGTGATCCAAAAACAATCTTACATGTCATCCCAGCTACAGAACAACATATATGGGCCTTTAATCCGCGTCATTCCTAATAGATGAAATTGACAGCATCACACTCAATCACTGGTACTGCTCACAAGATTAGATTACTACAGCATTGAATGCAGACAAAACTCAATACAGATTTTGCTGCTCGATTAATTATTTCAATTCTACTGTGAAAATTCTAAGTGGTGTTTAATAAAATGACCTTTTCTCATTTCTCATTATTATTTATATTCCAGCACATAGGAGTAGTGTTCCTGTCACTTGGAGAAGAGCAAGATTAAAGCTTAATAAAAACTAAAAGAACTGCAGATGCCGTAAATCAGGAACAAAAACAAAGTTGCTGGAAAAGCTCAGCAGGTCTGGCAGCATCTGTGAAGGAGAAAACAGAGTTAACGTTTTGGGTCCGGTGACCCTTCCTCAGAACTGATGGTGGCTGGGAAAACGTCAGTTTATATGCAGAAAATAGGGAGGTGGGTGGGGTAGGGAGTAAACAATAGGATACAGCCCGAAGAGAGAGAAAGACAGTTGGACATTCAAAGGAGTTGCTAACGATCAGGCTGGGAGGGTGAATAGTTGTTAATGGGAGCTGTTAGTGACTAACAACAGGGGGTGTGTAATGGCAGGCTATGTGGTAACAAGGCCTGGTGTGTGGGGTGGGGGACTGGGACATGGGAGAGTTTAGGCCCTAAAATTATTGAACTCAATATTGAGTCCGGAGGGCTGTAGGGTCCCCAAGCGGAAAATGACGTGTTGTTCCTCCAGCTTGCATTGGGCTTCACTGGAACACTGCAGCAAGCCGGAGACAGAGATGTTGGCCAGAGAGCAGGGTGGTGCATTGAAGTGGCAGGCAGCATGTAGTTCAGGGTCTTTTTTGCGAGCAGAACGTAGATGCTCTGCGAAGCAATCGCCAAGTTTACGCTTCGTTTCCCAATGTAGAGGAGACCACATTGTGAGTAGCGACTGCAGTAGACTAGATTCTGGGAAGTGCAGGTGAAGGGTTGCTTCACCTGAAAGGTACTTTTGGGCCCTTGGATTCTGGGGAGAGAGGAGGTAAATGCGCAGGTGTTGCACCTTCGCCGGTTACAGGGGAAGGTGCTATGGGGCTGTGGGGGGGTGTTGGGGGTGAAGGAAGTGTGGACCAGGGTGTCCCGGAGGGAACGGTCTCTGCGGAAGGTGGACAAGGGAGGGGAGGGGAATATGTGTCTGGTGGTGGCATCTCACTGGAGGTGGCGGAAATGGCGTCTTATGATCTTCTGGATGTGGATGCTGGTGGGATGGTAGGTGAGTATCAGGGGAACCCTATCGCTGTTGCGGGAAAGAGAAGGGGTGAGGGCGGAAGTGTGGGAGATGGGTCGGACCTGGTTGAGGGCCCTGGGGAATCCTCAGTTGAGGAAGAAGGTGGACATTTTGGAGGCTCCCTTGTCAAAGTTGGCCTCATCTGAACATATGCGACGGAGATGGAAGAACTGAGAGAATGGGATGGAGTCTTTACAAGATTACATTTACAAGATTAAAGCTTATTGAAAGAAGAGGTTAATACTCCATAATATTTTTTAGTGGATTGATAATTAACCATTTTGTGAAGAAAGGTTGACAGGCTTGGCATAGTGGCTTTGTGAATTTATCAGTAATTTTACAAGTCTTTCAAAAGTAAGATTGGAACATTGATAGCTAAAACTGGATCATTCTTGCCCCACTGCTCTGTGCATGTCAGGAAGTAGGACGTAGGACTTAAGAGCAATATCAACTTTTTCATCCTTTGAGCCTGCTCCATCAAACCATAATGTCACAGCTGATCTGATTATGGTCTCAACCCCAATTTCCTGTCTCCCCCTATTAGCCCTTAATTCTCTTTTCCTTCAAAAATCTAATAGGAACACAGAATTTAGAAGTCAGCTGACATTAAATCTAGAAGCTGTGTCCATTTTTGTTTTGATTTTATATTCATTCATAGGATGTGGGTGTCACTGACTTGGTTGTCTTTGAGTTGGCATTCATTTCCTACTCCTAACTGCCCTTGAGAAGCTGGTGGTAAGCTGCCTTCTTGAACCACTCCAAGTCCTTGTGGTGTAAGTACACCCACAGTGCTGAGAAAATTTCAGGGTGGCGTCTCCACGATGTGTTCTTCGGGTAGTAACTAATGATACTTACCCTCCTTGGCCTATCACAGGTGTTATTTTCACATCTTGCTGTATACTGTCCCCTGCTTTCTGCCTTGCATAGTAAATTCCATGCCATTCCTGTAAAATAAATCACGGATTGTCTGTCAAGTTTGGAAATAGCTGAGGATATTATTTCATATGTTTTTGTGTGGGTTTCTCACAAGTGCCACAAGTAGCACATTAACCAGCATGAAGCAATCTCTTTGGTATTCCATTCTGTTCAAATTGGACTCAAAATGTTAACTCTGTTTCTCTCTCTAGATTTGCTGCATTTCTCTAGCACTTTTCACTTTCAATTTGCAGGTCATTAGAATGTGCAATATTTCGCTTTTACACAAATTTCTCATTACTTCTATTCACATACAATTTGAAGGACAATGTTGTATATGAAGTATGGAGTATGACACATTGTGAAAATGTTTAAAAATAATAATTGATATACTTCCAGCTTAGACTGAATGTGTTTCAAGTATGAAATTTGGGTTAGTCATAAAACATAAAGGGTTTGGTAACAGCCTAAATGAGCTGGAAGTCTTTTGTTATCAGGTAAATTAGAAACATTCCAGTTTGAAAAAAAGCTTGGTGTCACAGTTGTTTAAGGAATTATTTAGCTCCTTTATGTGCAGGATTGAATCCAGCGTCAGAGAGGTACGTTGTGGTCAGGAATGGACGTCCTCAGAGATGTTGCTGCATTGCCATTGTAGCTTTTTTTGGATCTTGACTGGCCTCTTAAGGGCTTCTTCCAGCCCAGCCTCGACTTTGAGGCTTGAGGAGTGGAGGTAAGGCTGGCAGGTCTCCCTGCTTGAGTAGAAGGGGGTAACGCCTTTCCTAATGGCCTCTTTTCCACTATTCTTCCCTCCTAAATTCCCCATGGTCTGTATCCATGGGTGATCTCACCAACTCTGGACTCTCCATCCAGTCCCCTCACTCCCTTCTCTCCATCCCTCTTTGGACCTCATCTTCTCTCTCCACTATGAAACCCCTCTACTTACTTGGTCCAGGACTCCAGGGTTTAGATTCTGGGGACTGCGTGTCTTCCCAGTCCTGGCCACCACTGTCATTGGCACCGATGGGACTACATAGCCTCTGGCTAATCAAATTGGTTGGCAGCTCCGTGAGCAGGACTTCCATGGAGTGTTAAATACTTGTGGGGTTGCTACGTTCAGTTGGATTTGTCCCTTTCTGACTCTTCAGATGACAGGACAGAAAACATCACCAGCTGAACAATCCTGACCCACGTTTAGATCACTTCTGGCATCAGCTGATTATTCAATGGGAGGAAACAGCCTCTCTCTGAGATTCTGTGGTGTATTCATGGAGAAATAATAAGGCAAGGGAGTATACAGTGAGTAGCTGGACTTGCAAAGCTCAAAGGATCAGGGGGATGTTGGTGTACTGGTGCATAAATCATTGAAGGCAACATGGCAAGTGGATTGTGTGGTCAAAAAGGCAGTTGTAATATTATTAGTCAAGGTGTTGAAGACAAGAGCAGGAAAATTGTAATGGAGCTATATAAGATATTACTTAGACCTCAGGTGGAATATTGTGTGCAATTCTGATCACTACACTATAGGGAGGAAGTGATTGTATTGATTAGATTAAAGTTCTGTTCTGAGGAAGGGTCACCAGACCTGAAAAGTTAACTTCGATTTTTTCTTCACAGATGCTGCCAGACCTGCTGAGCTTTTCCAGCAACTTCTGTTTTTGTTCCTGATTTACAGATTCCACAGCTCTTTCAGTTTATTTGCTCAGGGGATGTGGCATTGCTGGTTAGGTGCGTCGTAAAAGATAGACTGAAGTTTTTGTAGGAATGGTGAAGGAACAGCAGATGGGAGTCATTGGAAAGGTCAGGCCTTGAGCTAATGAGTACAGACAGCATTATGATTTTGGTATCAGAAGGGAGATGCATGATACAAGGAGGCATTGAGTAAGGAGACATCTGCAGAATGTAAATGATGATAATGATGCATAATAATTTAATGAGGATTTTAGTGTCACATGATAATGTAGGGGGAAGAAAGCTGATGCTCCACAAGCATCTTAATAGAATGTTGTAAATAGAGGTTTTTTTTAATGAAAGGAAGCTAGGACTTGAGGACCATTATTTGCAAGGGCTAATTGCAGTTAGTCTCCATGCACATAATAAAATTAGGAGGCAAGCAATGACTCGGATGAGAAAGAGGAATTTGCATTGATGTAGTACAGGATGCCAAGGTTCTGCATTTCCTGTATGTAACTTGGAACTTCAACTCAGGAGAGGCTAAAAGCATGGAAGCAACATTGAGAGCCTTGGATCTCAGGAGGACATTTTATCCCAGTTTTGATATTAGTTGACCTGAGGGTCATTGCTGCATTAGGCACTAAGATATAGGTGGGTGAAATGGGATCTTAGGTTTTTACAGATAAACAGGCTGCTAAAGAGATAGTTTTACAGTAATGTAATGCCAAAATTCACTTAATACAAGAGTCTCGAGATTTGCATTTGCAATCTCACATTAAAGGGTTGCTCATTTAAGATAGAAATGAGAAGAAACTTCTCTCAAAGGGCAGTGAATCTGTCAAATTCTTTACCCCAGTGGGCTAGCAAGGCTAGGCCGTTAAGTGTATTCCAAGCTGAGATAGACATATTTTTGATAAGTACTGGAATCAAGGGTAATAGAGAAAGGGTAGGAAAGTGGAATTGACAATTATCAGATCAGCCATGATCTCACTGAATAGCAGAGCAGACCAAATGGCCTAATTCTGCTACTACACCTCATGATCTCTTGGCATAATTTTTCTATGCATTTGTATGCTATCTACTTGTTAACTATTAAGCAACAAACATTAGCGAGAAATGAATGAAAAGACTCCTAAGATACTGAAAAGAAATTAAGAATTTTCACCCTATTGTTGAGAAGCAATCATTAAAATTCACAGCATCCAGAAAATATAACTTTTAAACAAAATTTTAAATGTGTTGATGTGAAAACAAACAGATAAGCACTGGTTCTAATAAAGAGTCACCAGATTCAAAACATTAACTCTGCATTTTCCCCACAGGTGCTACCAGACCTGCTGAGTTTCTCCAGCAATTTCTGTTTTTGTTTCAGCTAAGTACTAGCCTAGATTATATACGTAGCCTTAATTATTTGGCAAAGAAATTTAAATTTTCCAATAATTTAATTAAGCAACTTCTGTAGTAAGGAAAAGTGGGAAATTGTTGCTTAAGTAAAAGTAATTGGAATCAAGTGACCTTTGAAGTGGGTGTGAGCTGATATCATGCTGACACAGAAATAGAAAAACTACCAAACTAACCTAATACCTTGTCACGACATTTTAGCTGCCCTGATATTGAACAATCATTTCAGTGTTTAGATTTACCTTTTTTTACTGTAATTTTAAAACCTTCAATTCAATGGAATAAAATCCAGACAAGTTTTACCCTAGCTAGAGAGGAACACTTCATTTATGCATCAAGTTCTAATGATTGGGAATGCACTGTCCAAAAAGATGGTGAATGCTGATTCAAGATTAATATTTTTAAAAGGGAATTGGGTAAAGACTTGAAGGACAAAAATCACAAAGCTGTGACGAAAAAGAGGGGGAATGTAACTAATGGGATCAGATTTGATGGACTAAATGGCCTCATTTTGGGTTGAATTATTCTTTGATTCTACTCCTAACCCAATGAGTAGCTTTCGATTTCTGTTGACAATATTTCTAATGAGGCCAACATGTCAGATATGCTCTGCACAGTGAGGGATACAAGAAAACAGAAGCCCAAGAAAATTAAAATTGATGATTTCTCAGCTGGCATGTGACTTATCTGAATGAAGAAAAAGACAGAAAGTGGCAAATCAGAAACAGAATATCCCAAGTTACATATCCGAAGGGTGAGTGAGATGAATAAGATGGTGCTCAGTGGAAGTCAGCACTCAAGCTACATGGTGAAGATAGTAAAAACTAGACTGAGAAATCATAACCTGTTGATAAGAAATAGCCAGGGTAGATCTAGAAGGGGAAGATTCTCCTGACCAAGCTTTGTTGAGGTAAATCCAGTCTTTTTCTTGTTCAATGCATATTGGATTCAATTCCTCTCTTTTTCACAAATGTTTCTGATATTTCTACCATTACCTGTGTGACATTTCAAACAGTTCAAATTTTGAAGTTCAAAGGTAATAAGACTTGCATTTACATGGTGTCTTTCAAAACCCCAAGATTTGCTAAAACTGTTCACAGTCAAAGGGATACTTGTGGAATTGTAGTCACTGTTGTAAAGGAACAAGATATGATAGTCAATCTGCACATAGGAAGATCTCGCAAACAGCGATGTGGTAAATATATCAAAGATGATAGAGAGTACTCACCTTTCCTTTCTTGATACATGTGTTTATTGTATCAAGAAGATCTGCTTTATTTTTGTCACTTTTGGGTAGTTCAGTAAGTTCTTTGCCAACCAGCTCCCCTTTATGATAACCCATCATATGTTCAAATGCTGGATTCACATACTGCAAAGAAAATCAAGACAAGTCAATTTTCTGGTGAAACTTACCCCATGTGTTGATAAAAGCAGTATCAGAGGTTCTTATTTATGGTCATATTATTTGCAATCATGATGTATCATTATCAAAGGCTATTTTTTCCAGTAAAATTACTGAAATTGCAAGTTTTTCATCAAAACCTACAGTTCCTTTCCTAACAGCATCACAGGTGTACCTACACCACATCGACTGCAGTGATTCAAGAAGGCCACTCACCACCACCTTCACAAGGGTAATTAGGGATGGCCAAGCCAGCAAAGGTTATATCCAATGAAAGAATAAAGAAAAGAGAGACAATCGAAATAAATGATATGGATCCTGAAAATCTAAGTCTGTTCAAGTATGTATCCATTTTAACATCATCATGAGATGAGCAAAAGCTAGGTCAACCGAAAGACATGTCTGGACCAGCTCCAGAGCCTAAAATTCATGGAATGACTATCCTGATGATGAACTATTCCCTGTCTCCAATTGGCAATTGATGTGGGAGAAGCTAGGCCAAGACACTCAAAATATTGTAGTTCCTACTCCGTAGGCCTTCATTATTCTTGGTGCAATAAAAGTAAAACTAGTAGTTGATCTTTGGTAAATGTGTAGGCCACCTAGTTTAGGCAGCTAAAGTTTTTCCAGAATTTGAAAAAATCTCTTGAAGAGGCTCTCTTGCAAAGCACTAAGCAGGAACACCCAAGTGATGATTTGAGTTGAAGATATCCAAGATTGTTCATTTTCTCTGACCAGGATATCTCCTCTGGACTTATTATGGAAATAAGGGAAAACCACAAATGGGATAGAACAACTGCTAATGGTAATCAGATCAAGATATCTCCCATATCTGTACATGCTTTGGCAGAATCAGCACACATGTCTTTGCAGGAGTGCCTAGGAAACCTATGTGCTGCTGCAAATAGTTGCAAGATCTTCACATTTTGGCTCACTTCTGGGCCAGATTCTTTTCCTTAGGGAGTAAGGCTGACAGAAAACTCAGAGACTTTCCAGTCAGGCTTCTAAGTTTACATGCAGTCAGATGCTGATGTCCTATTTTACTGTACTCTAATGACTACATTTACAACTAACTGCTATTTAATGTATTATCCAAATCAAATTGGAAAAGCAAATGCCATTATAAACATTTAAAAATAGCAATAATACTCAGACTTTAACTTGATTGTATTGTAGTCAGGAACCCTAATTGGTAATTGTATTGTAAGGAGTGTTCCATGTGCTGTTCTGCATTGCAGCAAACAGATGAAAGGTGAGGATGATCCTTATAAATGTATATTCATATATAGTCACTGTGAAAACAAATATTAAAACTAGACTGATTTGCAAACCTCCAAGTCCCTTAACATCTGTTGCAATAACGAGTTGAGAGATCTTGCACTGCATTGTGCTGAGACTGGTTGGCATGTAGTGATTGATAAGATGCGGTAAAATAGAGTTCAAGTGTGGGAGAAATAAGACAAGAATATTAATCTTAAATGCTCTTTCTTCAAAGTTTCCTCAACTTGAAAGCTTAGGTTCATGACGCTGAGGGAGATCTACACGAGGAGCTGCTATTCTGCCTCATTATCGAAGTGACTACAGAAAAACTACACTCAGCTTTCCCATTTCCTGCTCTATACCCTTTAATGGCAAACCATTGCTGCTTTACACATTGCAACGTCGTTTTTTGCATTGAGTTCCCTTCATGACTGCAGTTGAGTGGTGATTCTCTGGAGGGGCTATCATTTGGTTTTGAGCCTCAACCTGTTAGAAACTGGATGGAGATTATTTGAGGTAATCAAACCTAAGACATTTTTGAACAGTAGAAAGAACTTCCATTGAATTTATTTGACATGATTCAAGCTCAGATCTTAGATATCCCAACTTACTATGTTCTAGGTGATGCCATCATCCAGTATGGAGTTTGAATTGTTAACTGTCAAGTGAGCCATGAAATATAGACTAGAAGAAAATTTTGTTTAATTAGCTGCCATTTCAGACATTTTGTTAGTAGATGGTGTTGGACATTTGGCAATGATCTAATAGAAATGAAATGTATAATTTATAATTCTTATGATTTTTCAAAAGCAAGCCTCTGTAAGATGCCAAATGGCTTCACTGAGAACACAATTCCAACAATGATGCCTTGTCATCAAAGTTGAAAAGGAATTCTAAGATTTTGCTAACAGCCTACCCCAATTGGAGCTCAGAATCTGCATATTCAAAGAATGACCTTACTGGAAGAAGGCTAACCTTAAGAACATAAGAAATAGGAGCAGGAGTAGGCCATTTAGCCCCTCAAGTCTGCCATAAATTTATAAGATTGAGAAGCAGAATTAAGCCATTTGGCCCATTAAGTCTGTACTGCCATTTGATCAAGGCTATGTTTCTCAACCCACTTCTCCTGTCTTCTCCCTCTAACTCTTGATCTCTTACTAATCAAGAATCTATCTATCTCTGTCCTAAGGGTACTCAATGATTGGCCTCCACACCCTTCTGCAGCAATGAGTTCCACAGATTTACCGCTCTCTGGCTGAAGAAATTCAGCCCCACCATTTGATGAAATCACATCTGATCTGCCCCAGGCCTCAACTCCTCTTTTATGCCAGCTCCGCATAGCCCTCAATCCATTAATATTTCAAAAATCAACCACCTTCTTTTTAAATACTTTCAGCGATCAACCATCCACAACTCTCTGGGGTAGAAAATTCCAAATATCCCCTATCCTCTGGGAGAAGAAATCCTTCACGTCTAAGTTTAAGTGTCCCCTTATTCTGTAACAATGTGTCTGACTTTGATATTTCCCCAATTGTGGAAACATCTTCTCAACATTTACCCTGTTAAACCCTCTCAGAATTTTAAATGTTTCAGTAAGGTCATCCCTCATTCTTCTAAATGCCAATGAATAATTGTCTAACCTGTTTCACCAATTTTCATAAGCCAAGCCCTTCATCTCAGAATCAGCCTTGTGAATCTCTTTCGAAGTATCTCCAATGCTAGCAAATCCTTTCTCAAATAGAGGGAACAAAACCAGACACAATACTCCAGGTGTGACCTCATCAACACCATCACCAACAAGACTTAGCTATTTTTAAACTTCAATCTCCTAGCAATAAAGTACAAAACTCCATTTAACTTCATGATGACTCGCTGCACTTGCATACTAACCATTTGTGTTTCATGCACAGGAACACCCAGAGCCCTCTTTGCATACTTTTTTAGAGGCTTGTTTCATTAAGTAATGTTTAAGTATTAAATAGTTAATAAATTTTACAGACTGAAGCCCACTGGAAGTGAACAGTACATTGGAGGCGAAGTCCTGGCATTCCCAACAGATGGATGGGACCCTATAGTTACTCAGATTAACTTGGTGGACTGATTCTTCTATAAACATTTGTTCCAATGAAGAATTGTGTGAGCTTTGCATGAAACATATTCTTACAAAAAACAATGGGGATTTTGGAAAACCTTGACAAGAAAATAACTAATTTAGACTAATCCATTTATCCATGATAAAAGGTAATGTTAGGTCACCTGGATAACATGGTCTTCATTTGTAATTTCTACGGCCTCCTGGCACTGCTCTAGGGCTGTAAATATGGAGTTGCATGCCCTGAAAGAAATAGTCAGAGTAATGGAAATAGTTAAGCGGCAAATGCATTGATAACAATTATTTAAGATGGTTTGTATTAAGACTGCAGGCATAAAAGCCCAATAGTATGCAGCAGCAAATAACTAAAAACTGATTCAGATACTTTACCAATTGCCTGGAACCATGTAACCTTACAGTCCAATGCAAAGCCATTCAGTCCATCATCTTCTACTCAAGCTGCCTATTTTAATCCCATTTCTCTTACCTTTATCTGTGTCTTTTAAATTCTGCTAATTCAAATATATGCATTCAATTTTATTTGAAGAGATATTGATGATCCTGCCTCAACAGCTACTTGTGGAAAAGCATTCCATCAAGTTATAATTGCACCTTTTTTGTTCTCTGTGCCTATCATCTGCTCTCGATCAATCAATTCTGGAAATTTACCTGTAAGACAAATTTAATTTGCCTGTAATTATCTGGTTTATCACTTTCTTCCTGTCTTGAATAAGGATGTAGTGTATGTCTCTGCCTAATTCTTCAGCATAATTCTTAGTCCCAGAGGTAACTGAAGAAACAACTGAGGGCCTCTCCATCAATTTCGTCCTCAACATTCTTCAGTATTCTCGATACCTATCATCTGGGATCTGGTGTTGTTCTACACATTGTCCCATTAACATTTTGAATGCAGTACCCTGAATACCTTTTTCATTAATCGCATCTAGAACATGCACTTCTGAGGAAGGGTCACCGGACCTGAAACATTAACTCTGATTTCTCTTTACAGATGCTGCCAAACCTGCAGAGCTTTACCAGCAATCTTTATTTTTGTTTCTGATTTACAGCATCCTCAGTTCTTTCGGTTTTTAGAACATGCAGCTAATGCAATAAATACGTACCGCAGCTTGAATTGTGACCGCACCTCTCCATACTCCAACTGAATTAGTTCATTGTAACATGCAGTTACATTGGGGTTCTCTATGTATTGCTATGGATAAGGAGAAAATAAGATTAAAGGCATTCATTTAAAACCCTGAAAGAAAAGTTATAAATGCCTCACACGACCCTCTTACAAGGGAACACTAACCCACTCTCATTCTTCTTTCAAGACAGGCACGCACATAAAGGAAACTGCAGAAACCAGTGAGATGCAGTACCATGAGAAATTCTAACTCTAATAGAATAGGTAGTGTTATCAATATTATTGGCAGGGAAGAAAATACAGCTTTGGAAACAATGAGGATGGAAGTGGAAGTAGTTTACTGGAGAATGGAAGGACTAGGAGAGATGTTGGACTTGATTGTTATGGAGCAGTGGTTGGGAGGTGCTGGACACAGGAAGATCTGCTTCATTTTACAGAGGAGGGGAGAAGCTTCTAGAGCTAAATTTAACATCTCACATTGTGCTCCAACCTTTCAGTAACTGTCTGTCAAAATGTCTTTTATTAAAAGAACCTGATACGATTAGAAATACTGCAATGGGATCAAGAACAAGGTCAGAAGTGGCCTTAGATATCTATTCCTCTGCATTTACATGGATTTTAATCTAATAGCATTCCAACAGGAAATGGTCTCAAATCAGATTTATAAAGTACTATAATAGCACTATAGGATCGCATCATATGCTTATCAAATGAAACAGAAACAACGTAAAATGAATCTGAGCAAGGCCAGAACAGGCTAAGCAATTGTCAGAATACCCAAGGATGGCTTGGAGAAACAGGGTCTGCTTTGTTAACTGCGTTAGATTTAATTCACACAGCTCAATTATTTTAAATAAATACTGAACAAACCATTTATCCACAGATGTAGACATTCTAATGAATAGAGAGACAGAAATTCCAATAAACACTGAAAACTTAACAGCACGGTGATTTACATTGACATATCATTAAACACAAGTGAGTTCTTTAATAATAAAGACAGACTATATCAATTAATTTCATTATATACTGTAACATTCAATAGGCAATCAGCAGTTAAAGTGATTTATCAAGTGGGAGGTTGACCTTATTCACAGCGTTATAAGACCGAAGGCAAAAATCACTGCTCACATCACCCAGTGGTAATTATTTTAAACATGGTTAACTCAATCTCATGGCAGGTGTATTGCTACCTACATACCACATATAGAATGCTGGATCAACCCCTTTGTTGAAGATTTCAAAGCTATGGTGTCTGCATTGAATCCCTGTACAGTAAATGCTGTGAAAAAATGCACTACTATGGATGTTTGGTGATAAAAGAACTCTGTGTGATACAGGACCCACATGGTGCATGAGCCTGCATGCTGGATCCTTGAATGTGTGTCAACTGAAAAATATTACTGAAAGAAGACAAATTTTGTTGAAGCTTTTATCTGGATAATTTGCAAGCATACTGGCTCAAGAGGAAAACCAACATTTATACTTTATGAAAGGCCAGTGCTGATGTATCGCCAAGTGGACATTCATTGGTAGAACCATTGCCAACTACCACTGGTTAGGGTTAGGGTTAGGGTTAGGGTTACGGTTAGGGTGAGGGTTAGGGTTAGGGTTAGGTTTAACCCTAACTCTAACTCTATTGCATTTATCCATTGGTCCTGGTTGATAGTTAATGGCCAAACATGGTTAAATTTTAAACCAGGTTGATTCTGATTGGATGTCACCACATTTGTTAAGCTGATAGTTCTTATGAAAGAACAGGGCCTTGTGTATTAATATATAATGAGGTTTCAGAACATGCAAGTATGCCACATTGCAAGCCTCACTGACAATCCTAAACTGGTTGTCATTGTAAATCTTCACACACAAAGGATTATCAAACAAAGTTATCCAATTGCAGTTTCCTACTAATGTTGGACACTATGTTACACATTTTGTTAGCGTGGACTGGTTGGGTTGGTCAGTACATTCTTTATTGTGAACAGCCAAAGGGATATGCTGCTTGATATGACCAGCCAGTTTTTGGGACACATGGCGTATATACTTGGCATCACATTACTCATTTGTGGGATACACAGAATATCTTTTTTGTTTAACGGCAACATCCTGCTAGCAGTGAAGACCACCTGTGTTACTCCTAGATAGTGGCAACATGAAACGGTCAACCTCACCTGTTGCTCAAACATTTACACTGACCACTTATCAAGACCATCTTCTGGCTTTTCAGCAATTTGCATATTATACAGTGAAAAATAAGCCAATCAGGTTAACCATTACCCAACACGATAGCTTTATGCATCACATTTCAACATCACATTTGCATGATGACAAAATGGATTGGGCCCTAATTATGAGGTTCCTGAGAAGGCCAATCTTATAGCACATGGAACTGTAGGAATCCCAATACATATAATGACCAGTGAAGATAAATGTACGGTAGTCAGCAATAGAAAACCCCTGGCCAATTCTCAGCTAAAAATCGAGACAAGGAAGCTCATTTTTGCATTCCGTTTCAAGCATCAATATGAATGCAGGTTGAATCCAATTAAAACATGCAAGGAAATTCTTGCATGCAGCTGCAGATTCAAATGTAACAAACATATCACCTGCATATTGAACAAATGCAAGGGGTAGGAGGTTAGGTATCATTTCATTGAATGGTAAGATCACTTCCCACTATACTTCACTCAATGCCATGAACGACCCTAAGACAGTCGCTCTTGGTCTTGGAAATTGCCCAATCCACCTTAAAAGGTATCTCAAAAGTTTGAGTAACAGATGGAGCTAGCTGTTTCATGCTAGTACAATGCAGTAATAATGAAAGTGGTGTTCACCGCTAACAGGGTGCAGCCATCAAGCCAAAGAATGTTCTGCCTCTCCCACAAGTGAAGAATGTGGTATATGAATTTCAGTGCTGCCGTAATGCCAGATATGTAGGCTGTATATCCCAAAGACCAGGCAATCATATCAAACAGCATATCCCTTCAAAAACAAAGTTGCTGGAAAGGCTCAGCAGGTCTGGCAGCATCTGTGGAGGAGAAAACAGAGTTA